TGCATTTGATCACTATAGATCAATGCATATTACACATTACTATGGAAAAATAGGTTTGAAACATTCAAGACTACCGTCTTCTCAAGCTTGCCTATCAACATGTAGAAGTTTGTGCATCATTCGATTAAGCATAATCTCGGCCTTCTAAAAATGAAAAACTCGTCGTGAAATTTTGCCTTTGCGAGGAGATATAGCTATTTTCCTGATGCTATAGGGGTTAGTACGCTGTTCCTTGACGAGTCTGGGAGCACCGATTGTTTGAAAATGACAAGCCTATTGAAGTTTATGTTAAATAAGAGCTGCTCGTTGCGTTAAATATACGTATTAATTTTATCTTTTCTGGGTGGTTGACCCGGTCTTAGGGCTGAGGGCTGTGGAAGGAAAGCTTTGGCTGCACTGAGCGAACGCATTGCTGCATTGAAACCATTACATGTTCCGCGACTGGTTGATGATTTTCAGGATGGATTTCGACCGTGTCAATGATTTTGGTCAGGTTTGATTTGAAGATAACGTTATCGCTTGTCGATGGCCATCTTATCCCTGAATGCTTTTCTCTGCTTGGCTTTTCGAATTATCTGGATATGCGTTCACATATTCCTCATGGATATGGTTACGCGAATGTTTAACACATTAGCAGCAAATTGTTGCAATTATTCATTCATTTATTTAATTCGTTTGTTCCCAATTCCATGCTTTACTCGACCTCATTTACATTTCTTTAGTGTTGTTGAGCGATTTCATTTGTGGTCATATTTGATTTATGTATTGTGTCAATGTGCTGGGATGAGAATTTATTATACTGCATTGATTTTATTACTTAAGTTTGAAATATCTACTTAGAATAAGTAGATAATGATGTCTTTTGGATTTGCTTGCGTTCCGTCTTCTTATTATCCATTCTTCGATGATTATTGAATTGATTCATTAGTTTAATCATCTATTATAATTCCTTTTGATGTCATTTTAAGAATTTGTTTATGTTTCATGCATTACAGTTTACGTTGGCCTTCAATTTGAATATCCATTAGGATTAAATGTTTAATATTACCTTGTAAGATGTTCGTCCATCGCACCATTTATTGCAATTTCATCTTATTTCAACTCAAGCTTTGTTTGCGTTTAAATGGTCGGTGTTGCTTTGTGTAATAGAGCCTTTTCTCTTTTCCCAATACCTAATGCAATTCAAAGTTGGTTACAGATGAAGGTTACGATTCGTTTGATGGTTTGCATTGTTATTATGATTTATTGGTTGTATTAATGGCATGCTATACTTAATGAGTTTTAGGTGTTATTGTGTTATAAATCATTCTTGTGTCCCAGTCCTCTATTGAATTCGATTGCAATTCCAAGTTGTTGATCGTGTAATCATCTCAGCGAATTCACATTCCATCAGTATGAATCGATGAGTTTAATGTAAAAACTATGCGAATTTAATATGTTTGACGACCATTATTTGTCTCTAAATGTGTAAAATCCTTTGATTCCTTGCTACGTTGAGTCGCTTGCAAGAGGAGAATTCAATTACACATCATCATTGGGGTTACTGTCATTGATCATTATTGTTAGTGATATTATTGTCATCACCTTTATTCTCATTCTGTAACACTGTGATTGCTATTGCCGTTAGCATTGCTTCTTATTAGCATTACTCGGTTATTTTTAAAGGAATTTTACACAGCACTTTCTTTGACTGCATAAAAAAGTCTGAGATGAGATATATGAATGATATATATTGAAGAGAAAACCATGAAATTGATTAGTATCAGAGGACCACTTCAGTGATATCATCCGAAAACATTGAGCTCAAAAATTCTCTCACATTGAATTTCGAATAACCGATTGCTAAAAAGTAGTCACTCCACTTCAAGTGCTAATCTCACAAAGACTCAAGAGAACGACTTCGATGAGAAGGATGTACTTGAGATCTATCAAATATTCCCACTCTTGTCGATATTGGCGGCATGAGAAAATAACTATCAATTCCGAATCCCGATGTGTCCGTATCTTTTTCTCACATTATACACCTTTTTTCAAATGTTAACTAAAGAATATTTTTACTTTTCATAGCAGGTTAGGATTATACATTGTTCAAACAATCATGTTTCAACTTAAATGACGTATTAATATCAATATTCGGATCTGTATACTCGTACCCGAATTTCTACTAATAGGCTAACAACCCAAACTGTATATCAATATTCAAAGGTTTCAGGGCAGAGCAAGCGTGAAATCATATCATTGTTCATTATTGTACAGATGTGTTAAAGAGTATCATCGAAATGCGAAGTTTTCATTCCTCGAAAATGTTATAACTGACGACGTTTCCCGGTGCCATTACTAACGTTCTGTTTTGTATTGATAAGATTTTGGTGAGTGGTGTAAATCAGAGCAAATAACGCGATGCAATTCAATCAACCAGTATACTAAATACGATGAAACAAGTAAATAAAGACTGACAAAACAATCGTAACATTACGGCATATCATCATTATTCATTGTTATCACTTATCAATGTCAATTATTATCCATTCACATGTAATATTCAATATGTCCAAATTATTTCAGAATTATTAATAGGAGCGTAGCCACAATTTGAAAATTACATGTTTATCGACTGCAAATTCACGAGGTTTCAGTTCAAATACCTGCATCATTTGAGGAACTCACTCACTGTCCTGATTCAGTCCCATTTACCACAAGGCAATTCCGTTCCTTGCAGTAATTTGAATGAGAAAGAAGAGGATCGTTTGAATTTCGCAAGGTTTGAGTCTCGTTGTGGTGTCTTCTGGCTCCGAACTGGCTCGATTATTGACTGTTCAACATTGGTACTGCACAAGTGATTTCAGTTTCCTGCATTCTGCTTCATTTGGATGCATCGCACCGGCTCTCATATCGAATTCTATAGATGAAACTGTCGAATCGGTGGTCACAGTAGATATGCGATTCGGATGATGTCCTCGAATCTGAGGTGATTCTATCACTGTTCGTTGACTACTCGTATTATTGGTCGCCTCAGATTCCTCTTCGTCTTGACCATTCTCCATTAAACGTCCATTTCGTTGCAATCCTTCGGGGCTCTTCGCCCTTACCGTCTCAATACATTCGTCCAAATGGTTCTGAAGCATCTGACAAGCCTGAAAGAAAACAGAATTACGGCATCGAATTAGTCGTCTAGGTGAACATCATATTGTAAATTGATCGGTACCCTCTCATATTCATAATAATGATGGAAATATTTATCCGCAAAATTATCGTCTATAAAAAATTTTGATCCCTTGTCAACATGATGTCGGATATTCCGTGTTAGCTTTTGCTGGAAAGAATAATGAATGAATTTAGAATAGAGGATGGATGGACAGTGGTCTTGAGTTTCAATTCTCAAAATCTTAATTTTCCCGATTTCAAGTTAACCTCTCTCCACCCGTAATTTCTGTTCCTCCAGTTCCCTTTCAACCGTCTCTATGAAATTAGCCAGTTTATTTCTCAAATAGAACAATGAACTAGAATGATGGTTCTTCCTGTCTTATCTAATAAGATATTCATTTTATGCATTAATTCGCTGACAAATTGGCATTATTTGGTTACAAATCATACACTTAGTACAGTACATACACACAGTTAAAATATGCTCATCGTTAAATTTCAACATCTCTCTTCTACAACAAAATCGGTCACCGCACACAAAAAGACAAGAAAATTGCCTCTAATTGTCAGAAAAATTTGAAATATTTTCATCACACAGGATAGTGGAATTTTTCATCAGTACCAGTAAAATTTTATGACCAACGGCACAAATCAGTTTAATGATTTCAAAAATTAAACGATGGGAAAGATAGAACGCTCAACAGTTTGTTTGTTCAGGTATTGTAAATCAAGACAAAAAGAAGATAAGGCTGGGGTTACTGATGTGTGAATAACTTCTAAGCTCTGTCAATTCAGCTGTGCATGTTATTATATGGAGATCTTTTATCGGCTTTGTCGGTATTCATCTATCAAACGGATTTATGCGATAATCTTGTGTGAACAGATGTCGGATGCCTTTAATTAGAACAATAGGCACTGAATGAAAATTAATCAAGCACGAAGCGTGAAAAATCATTCAATGGTTCGTGGAGCTGAATGTTTCTTGTTTGATTGGCCTCCACTCGGACGCATCTTCGGTCCAACAAACCCACAGTTTAGAGTGTGAAATTTTGAAATGAAAAATGCGTAGAGGCACCAATCACAATCTTTATCAAAACATGCTTAAATAACAGTTCTTTTGGAATGTAAACAGTTGAGCCTATAAAATCAAGCACTCATTCAGTTGATGGGGAATGCAAAATTATTTGTGAATATCATGAATGATATCATCGTTACTGCTACTATCTTATTAATCTGTAACGGAAGCATGATGGTGAGGTACACTTCACATAGCAAAAAATGATCGCATCTATTGGAGGGAACAGTGAAGAATGAATAACAAACAAAATGTAATATGATCTTCCGAAGTGCTGCAAAAANAAAAATGTGATTTGCTATAATATGCTTTGAGAAAAAAAATACTGCAAAAAATATTATTCAGTGTAATTTTTTTCTCATTAGCGTTGTTTTTTGCAAATTCTTATGAACGTATAAATGATTGATTGATGATTGATTGCTCATAATTGTACACAAAAAAATTTACACCTACATTCGCTATATTCACGGCACTTGTTGACATTACTATGAAAACAATCAAATCAGAGTTGGCTGATCTCATCTCACACCACTTTTTGCACACTTTGCAATATATTCCTCCCTGATCCCTAATCCTCCCATCCATTCATCCATCATTCCATATAATATTTGATTGAGCCTCACTGTTGAGTTATTGAGTTAATGCCTCCCACAATCCAAACAAGCTTATCCTAGAGCTGGTTATTTACCTTCAGTATCCCAACCCTAGGTATCTGCCTATCAAAGTAGCAATTTACACCTGGTGCGAAATCATAAGTCCAGCTAACTGAAGTCTCTTGACTCATTTACCAGAGCCTATATGAGCATACCAAACTGTAACTGCTCCATTTTACACATATGACACCCTCTCATCATTTCACATTACTCCTCTAATTGTGTCATATACTTATCACTTCTCACTTATCCACTGTTATTCATTAAACCAACTATATCCGTCAAAATGAAGTGACATTGGATGATCTATTGCAAAATTTTTGCAGCGGTTCTTTTCAGAGCTGTCAATTTTGCATACAAATAATTTCGAAAAACAGTGCATAAGTTCGTGCAATCAGGAAATTCATCTCTATTTTTTTATTTTATTTTTAAGATGGAATCGTTACGAGATTATGGTGAAGAGTATCAGTAACACAACAAAAAACCTGTTGAAATTTCTGTCTGTACTGAAACGAAACCGGAACCGAACAATTTTGGGTAGATAATGGATTAATATGCTTACACGTTCAGACAAGGTGAATGAATAGCAGGTGTTGAAACAACTAAACTGTATGCTTCGCTCAATATTATTTCTTAGCACTTATTTTATTTTCCTTGCACAATATTTCGGAAGAGCATTTTCAAAGGCATGCTGCAAATGCAANTAGATTACTTGAGATTTTATCACTTTCAACTGATTTCTTTATTCATTAATGACAACAGTTATGGTATAATCATTTTCTACACCATGATCAGGATCCCGAGTTTTGAATTCGGAATTCGATCAAGGTATCTGCGTACTGCAAAATGCCGCGGTTTCGGGATTTCATAATTTCCACCTCGTTCGATTTCATAAATTTAGTTCACTGAACTCATTTTATATAATTTTCTTATTAATATTTGTTGATCACCATCCAAACGGTGATATCTGTATAAATCATTAAACAATAGCGACATCTTTCGCTTTTCAGAAAGCAGTGAATAAGAACTTCGCGATGTCATCACTCCTGCTTTATTTTTCATCATCACCAATGCTCTACCTCCCGTTTTTATGATCCTCTTCCAATCCTGGGATTATCTGCGGACTGAAAAAAGATCCCGGGATTTAATCTCGATCCCGATAATGATGAATGGTTTACATTGCGCAAACACTAGTTATAATACGGAAAATCATTCTGGACACTTCAATCGCAGTGCAAAACCAACGGCACTTGGAGTGCAATTTGAAGGAATGTGAAGAGTGCAAATTACTTGAAGATATATGAAGAAGAGTGAATCAGTGCTATATTTGAAGTAAATAAGAATGTTTTCACAATACAATAGAAAGTACAATGCACGAGTAAGGTTTGAGAGGGACGAGTAATTTCAATTATGAGACAAAAAATCGTTTTGAAAACATGAGGAATGAATAGATTGTAAAAAATTGGTATTCACAAAAATTGCACTCAGTACATGTTTTCATGCACAGCCTATCTCCAACAGTTTCTGCAAAAGCCTGCCCTCAAATACCATTCCTCACAATTAGTTAGGCCATACAACATCATCAAGAAAATTTATTTCTAAAGAAATTTCAAAATCCCGTTTTGGATTGCATACTGTTTAAACATTTTACTGAAATTTCCTTGTCCTTGAGTTGTCTTCGATCAAAAATTCAAATACTTTGTTGCATGGAATAGACTGAATGCAATAGATGACCTGCCGGAACTACCTGAATGAATTGTTAATAACTAAGTGTTATTATTAGTTGTTAATACTATATGACTGTCAAATTTGCTAATACTTAAGTGGACCACTCTTAAACTCTTGAGAAGATAATGCGAATCATCAGCTTAGAACCAAAGCTGCCTGAGCAAACTTCGAATAACTGCTAGAACGGTTTGTAAAACGATTGTATTTGAACTACAAACAAATAATTAACTATTACAATGATGCTTTTATTATCTCTCAATAGAACTGTCTTATGCTGCTACTCATTTCAATCATTAATCATTGGATTGCGGTAAAATATCGAACGGCGGATGGAAAACTATAAGGTCAACGTATCAAGAGATGCATAAAGAAAAGTATTAAATGATGACTTGAACGGCTAAATTGGACAGGTGTTCATAGTTGACTGAAAAATGTTTGGCAGCTTATTATCAGAGTCTCATATTAGTTGAGTTGGTTCAAATAAACATTCATAAAATGCCGACAAAGAA